TGATGCTCTGGAGGCTTGTTGGGAACGTGGCCTCCAGATGAGGGAGAGAAGGCAGAGCTGGACAAGAGCAGCACAGAACTGGGTGTACTGGGTGTACTGGGTGTACTGGGAACCTGCTGCCTCTGACCCTGCCTGTCCCCCCAGGGATTGCCCTGCCCGTGGGGGAAGCTCATCGCCACGAGCCCCCGGTCCCACACGATGAGGTGGTCGTGGACATGGGGCGGGAGCGGGAGGAATCCAACGAGAACAAAGTGGCTCCCGGAGGAGCCAACGACCGTCTGCTGGAGGAGCCAGCCAGGCTGAAGCCCCAGAAGGAGGCGCTGGGTCCAAAGCAAGGGAAGGAAGTGGTTGCTGAGAACCAGCAGCGGGGAGGGACTGGCAGGCCCGGCCCAGATCTGGAGAAGGTCCCGGAGGCAGCGGTGCAGCAGGGGGGAAGGCCGCCCTACAAGGAGCTGGAGCCAGGGGAAGCCAAGCTGGAAGCCAAGGCACAGGCGGCCGTGCCGGACGGTGACACCGCCCAGGCTGCTGACCAGGACAAGTCACAGCTGCAGCTCCCCAGGAAAGCAGAGGAGGCTGCAAAGTCCATGGAGAAGGAAGCAGACCCTGGTAAGCTCCTTTCATGGCAGCTCATCTGAGCAAGCTCTTCTGGGCCTGTAATGCCCCTGGAGACGGGACTATTTGGTCATTGCCATCTCCATCCTGATGCTTCCTTTTAACGCCACGAGTGGAGCACGTGAGTGTGCACAGCCCCTCCGGCAGCTGCTGCAGGAAGGGAGGAATCTGGTGGCTTTGACAGCTACTGCAAGAGCTGTCAAACAGTTGTTCGCTACCCGCCAAAATGTCAGGTGCCGTGCTGTTCCTGCACGGCTCCCAAATCACCAGGGACACGGAGCCGGGAGATCTTGACAGGGAACACATTGCCAAGTGCCCGTCTAAAAGCCAGTTAGAGCTGTTCTTGCATGTTAATTGGCTGAGGTAGTTAGTGCTGGCTCGCTGCCACCAGCCATGGGATTGTTAAATATTGGGTTTATTACTTCCCTCGCAGCCGTCGGGTTGGATACAAACGGTGCCGGGACAACGTGGAGGAGTTTTAGGGAACATCTGCACTGACAGCAAAGCTCTGTTGTCCTTTGCAGGTGAGAAGCAGGAGCTGCCCCTGCCAGAGAGAGCAGAACTGCTGGAGAACCGGAACACTGAGGAGAAAGAGGAGAAGGCAGAGGGTGAGTATGTCCCTGGAGCATGCAGGGACAGGCTGGATCTCTCTGGATCCCTCTCTGTGGGAGGACTTGAGGCCACAGCCCCTGCATAGCATCAGGTGGTGCCTGTCCATCTCTGGTACACCTGGCAGGGCCACTCAGGGACCTGAGGCACCCGGCTCTGGCTGCTCCCTGGGAAGAGGGAGACAGGAGTGAAACAGCTCCAGCAGCACGGCAGGGGCACATGGGGACACCTGAACACATCACAGGGAAAAGCTCCTTCCCTCAAGGCCCCGGCTGCTCTGTCCCTGGGGCATCAGAGCTGGAGCTGCAACGCCCTTCCTCGGGCTGAGCTCCTCCCTCCAAACTCTGACTGGCAAAGGAGGGTTGGAGCCTGAGCTTGGACCTGTGTGCAGCTCTCTTGCTCTCATCCCATCCTCTTCCAGCTTCCTTCTCTCTCTCCTGGCAGGGTTTGTGCAGTCAGATCTTCCTGCCAAGGAGAGCCCTTGCAGCCCCATCCAGAGCTGAGGTGATTTCTGAGGGCTTTGGGTCACAGGGGATTTATTTCCTCTGTCTTTTTCCCCTTTTCCAGAAGCAGGGCCAGCAAAACTGCTGGACCACAATGTGCTGCTGCAGGTGATCAAGGAGCAGCAGGTGCAGCACAAGCAGCTCCTGGACCAGCAGGCAAAGCTGCTGGCGGTGATCGAGGAGCAGCACAAGGAGATCCACCAGCAGCGGCAGGAGGAGGGGGCAGAGGAGAAGCCAAAGCCAGGTAAGGACGTGGCCAGGGAGCAGGACCCCTCCACAGCGTGCTCACAGCTCAGAGCAGCTCCGAAATCAAGCTGGGAGAGATCTGAGTTCCTTTGGCACATGGCAGAGTCCGCTTGCACAGCCATTTCTGTAGGGATAAGCCACAGCTCTGCTCATCCCGCCCTGTGGCCTCGTCTCGTGTCACACAGAATGTGGTGGCAGGAGAAGGAAATATCCTGAGAAAAGCCTTTTCCATGTCGGTTTTGTCCTGCAGCAGAAGCACAGCCAGAGCCTGCCGTGCCCCTGTCCAGGAGCAGGGAGGACGAGGCCCTCGCAGCCAAGGGAGACACGGCTGCGAAGCCGCTGAGCAAGGAGCAGCCGGAGCAGCGCCCGGGCCAGCAGCCCCCCGATTCCACCAAGCAGCACAGGGACATCGTGGGGAAGCTGGAAGAGGCTGGGCACAGGCGTGACATTCCTGTGGCTCCTCCCAAGGAGTGGAAGGTGCAAGAGAATGACAGAGCTGTTAAGAATCCTGTGGAGAACTGGGATCCCCTCCACGGAGATGCCCAGCGTGTTCCAGCAGCCAGAAACAACCTGGAGAAAAAGCCCTTGGCAGAGGATTTGGGAGAACGTGAAGCCAAAGCTGGAAGAGATGTCCACCAGAAGAAGAATTTCCTGAAAGCCGTGGAAGCAGCTGCAGCTCCGATCCAAAGAGAACAGCCGGGGGCTGCCAAAGTTCAGGGAGTAGCAGGAAGGAGTTTGGAAAGAGACTCAGGAATAGACCTTAAAGCCAAAACTGTGAGTCAGGTGGAGCCCAAGGACCTGGCAGTGGTGCCGGACTCTTCCAGTAACAGGAACGTGGCGGTGAGGGAGCAGCACCCCCGGGAGCAGGAGCGGCATAGAGGGGCACAGGCCGAGGGAGCGGGCGGGCGGCAGCGGGACCCGCCTGCCCACAGGCACAGGAAGGAGGAGGATCCCCGGGAGGAGCCGCGGGGCCGGCAGGGCCGTGGGGGTCCCTCCAACGGCGCCGACGGGAAACCCGGCCCTCAGGACGCTCCAGCACCCAAGTCTGAGAACGGAGCGGCCGCTCCCAGGGATCCGCAGCAGCCGGAGCGCGACGTCAAACCCAACCGGGACCTGAAGCTGCAGGGGGGCCTGGACCTGCGCCGCAGGAGACGGGACCTGCTGCCTCCCGACCTGGAGGAGGATGAGGAGGAGGATGGAGAGGAGGAGGCGGCCGCACCAGGAGCCGGGGGGGTCCTGATCGGCCTGAACCCCCTTCCCGACGTGAAGGTGAACGACCTGCGGAGCGCGCTGGAGACGCGGCTGAGCCGGGTGGCCGAGGGCGCGCAGCACCTGGTGCGCAGCCGCCACATCCAGCAGCTGGCACAGGACAGGAGCCCGTGACGGGGCCGCGCTCCCCAGGGAACGCTCGGGCTCGCCGGCGTCGCTCAGGCACGGAGAGATCTGAGCCGGTAGCGCTTTGCTGGACGCAGCGCTCGGATCCACAGGATCTCCCTGGATCCCTGAGCGCCGCCCTGGGGGCTTCCACAGCAGCACCCCCAGTGTGTGCCTGCGGGTGCCCAAGGAGATGGAGGCACTGGAAATGACATTCCTGCTGTCCCCTGCCTTCCAGAGCTGCCATCCACCTCGGCTCCCTGCCAGGCCGCTGCTCCAAGGACCTTTTCCAGCATCTCATTCATATCCAATTGCCTTCTCCAACCATCTCCCAACTCCTCTGGCCGAGGGGACCTGGGATCCGCACCTCGGGAAGGGCTTTACCCCGGAGAAGCTGTGAGCTGAGAACCAGCAGAGCCAAGTGCTGGATCAGGAGCAGAGCCTCTTTTGTTTGGGACACAGTGGTGGTTTGGGAGCCTCATTTAGTAGAAACTCTGCCTTAACCGGGCACAACTCCTGTTGTGCTGCCCCTCTCCCAGGGATGGGATTCCTTGGCCACACACTGGGATCACATGGGGCTCTGCCCCCGCTGCCCTCCCCAGGTGCTCCTCTCCGTGCTCTCCAGCTCCACTCCCCCTCTCAAAAGTGCATTAAGAAGCTCAACTTCCCCCTGACCCTTCCCAACCCAGCTTGATTCTTCTGCCAGAGGCGAGTGGTTTGGGGAGAAACGTGGCAGAGCCAGGTGGATCCAGGGGCTCCACCTCCCTCTTCCTGTGTTCTGTGTGCTCTTCCCAGCCTCCCCCTGCCCTGTTCTGCACCCAGACAGGTCCCTGCTCCACCTCTGCAAATTTGCTTGGTGAATGAGGAAGGGAAGAGCTTCCCCAAGAGCTCTGTGTTGTTTCAGGTTCCCAGTGATTAATCCCTTGGGTTTTTTTGGGTTTTGTGTTTTTACATCCTGACTGGCGAATGTACAGAATTCAATCCCAAAGCTCTCCCTAGACCGGCTGAGAATTCCCAGCCTGGAGCCCTCAGACCTCATCACTGTGCTGGGTTTTATATCCAAATGTCCTCCAAATGTCTTTGGCAACTGTGTCCAGCGGGACCCTGCAGAGCTGGGACGGGGTGGGACTGTCCCTGCCTGGTGCTCCCGGGGTGTCACAACCCAGAGTGACAGGGAAGCCACCTCGGGAGTCCTTTGGGAAGACCCCCCGGAACAGTGTGGCCTTAAACCCCCCGAACCCAAGGAGCTTCTCCATTAACGCTGTCGTCAAGCACAAGCACCGCGGCCGGGAGCCCGGAGCCGCTGCGAGAGGCAGGGATGGGTCTGGAGCACCGCTCCAGCTCTGCCCCGGGGAGATGGATCCGGGCTGTGGCACCAAGGAGAGGGAGCCGGATCGGCTCCTTCATTCCCTGTGCCGCCGGCTCCGGCCCCGCGGGGTCAGAGCCGCCTGTTTGTTGTTCTCTGTGTGAACATAAGGGACCAAAGACGCTCCTGACATTCCTGCTCTTGGGAATGGCGTGGGCACCCCGGGCTGGGCTGGAAGCTGGCCTTGTCCCGCCGGGAACGAACGGCTCCCCCGGGGCGGGTGGAACGCTGGGAGGGAGAGCCCGGAGCGCGGGCTGAGCCCATCAATAAAATAAGCTGAAGCATTCTGGTCTGAATTATGTTCTTCTTTTTAATAAATAAAGATAGATCTGTGACCCTCACCCAGCCCGGGGCTGCACCTCCTCCGGGCCGGGGAGCGGGTGAGCAGCTCCGGGGCTCGGGGGGGTTCCGTCAGCTGAGGACAAACCGGTGGATTTGAGGCTTTTACTGTCCCCGGGCGTCTCCAGGCGGGGGCGGCTCCGGGGTCACGTCGGTGTCGCCTTTGCCTGCAAAGAGCCGCGGTCAGAACGGGCCGAGGCCGCCTCCCTCCGCCAGCACCGGGATCGCAGCTGGCACGGGCACTGGGACACAGCCGTACCGCCCGGGCGAAGCATTCCCGCAGCGCCTGGAACTCCTGCAGGCACGCGTCCCGCCGCAGCTCCGCCGCTCCGCCCGCCGCCGCCGCCACGCACCGCCCGTAGGCCGCGGCCTGCGGGAATCACACGGGACGGGAGCGGGGGCCGCCGCGACCCGCCGACCCCGGAGCCGACCCCCTGTGCCCCCCGGCCCCACCTGGTCCCCGCAGGCCGCCAGCGCCGCCGGGAAGCGCCGCAGCCGCGCCCGCGCCCGCAGCCACACTCCGCTCCCCGCCATCGCCTCACCGCACGGGCGCCGCCATGCCCGGCCGGCCGCCATTGGCTGCGCGCCCCGCCCGTCACACACCGCGCTCTCCTATTGGGCGGCATCACCCCGAACCGCGCCCCTTCTGATTGGTTATTCGGCGCGGGCAGCTCTGATTGGCGGAAGTGCCGGTTGTTTACTTCCCGCCTCCTTCAGGCGTCAACTCAATAAGGCGCTTCCGCCCGGAGCCCCGCCTCCCCTCAGCGCTGATTGGTTGAGCGGCAGAGCCTCGGCCTCTCATTAGTGGAAAATGAGTTCCGGGGGGCGGTTCCGTGACGCCGCCGGGGGAGCGGGCAGGGCCGGTACCGGCACTGTCATGGCGGTGCCGCTGCGGGACCGGCTGAGTTTCCTGAGCCGGGTACGGACTGGGGGCTTTTGGGGTGTGAGGGGGGGGGCTGCCGGGGCGTGACGTCACTGCTCACCCGCGACGTCATCGCTGCACCCCCCCACCTCGCTTCCCACACAGCCCTGACGGGGCCGGGCCGGCCCCGGGGCCTCGGTCCAGTCCCCACCACCGGGCTCCGGGGCGGCTCCGCCCCGTCTCACGCCGCCCCCTCCTCCTCCAGCTGCCGGTGTTGCTGCGGGGCACGGCCGACGACGACACGCCCTGCCCCGGGTACCTGTTCGACGAGATCGCCAGTATCCTTCAGGGAGACGGGGGGACCGGGCAGAGGGGATCCCGGGACCGGGAGGGGATCCCGGGACCGGGAGGGGATCCCGGGACAGGGAGGGGATCCCGGGACAGGGGGCACTCCCCGGGACAGGGAGGGGATCCCGGGACAGGGGGCACTCCCCGGGGCTGCTCCAGGACGTGGTGGGCGCTGGAGGCCTGCGGGGCTGGTTTGGGGCAGCCGTGGGATTGTGGACCCTGTGGAGGGGCTGATTCCTGGCACTCGGGGGGCTGCTGCTGCCCTCCGATCCCGGCTGGATCCCTAACCAGTCCCTAGAGATCTCCCACGAGTCCCCCGGGAGCAGCCAGTGCCTGCTGGAGCATCTCCTCACACGGCTGCAGAGCAGCTCCTGCCACGTCAAGTTGAAGGTGGGTCCGTGCTGGGAGCACTGTGGGGGTGATGGGATGGAGCCCCCCTCTCCAGGAAGGGCAGCTGTGACCTGTCCTTGTCCCCCGAGGCAGGTGCTGAAGATCCTGCTGCACACCTGCTCCCAGGGCTCCCCCCAGTTTGTGCTGCAGCTGAAGAGGAACGCCAGCTTCATCCGGGAGGCCGCGGGTAACGGGCTGGGGGGACACGGGAGAGCCCCACGGGGGGCTGGAGACCCCCGAAGGGCTCCTGCTGCAGGGGCTGTGCCAGGAGCAGGGTCCTACCCCACCTCCCCTCTGTGTCTGCAGCGTTCTCTGGGCCCCCAGACCCCCTCCACGGCAACAGCTTGAACCAGAAGGTGCGGGCGGCCGCACAGGTGGGTGTTGGAGGGATAGGGCAGCCCTCAGCCCCCTCCTCTGGGGTTCCCAGCACTGCCCACACTCCTCTGTCTCTCTCAATCCCACAGGACCTGGCCAGCATTCTGTTCTCAGATGCGCCGCTGCCGCAGCCCCTGGCGCTGCCCGCCCGGGCCCCGGCGCCCGCCGGTGAGCACAGCCCCCCCAGGACAGACCCTCGGTGGGGGAAACAGGGGAAAGGGGAACCCTGAGTGCCTGTGCTCCCTCTGACATTCCCTGTGCCTCCCCAGGGATGGGCTCCAGCCCCAGCCCCTGTGGCTCCCTGCAGGGATTCGGCTTCAGCGGTGACAAGAGCGGCTCCGGTGAGTCCTGGCCCTCACTGGGTCTGTTCCTGCTGGGAGCTGGGGCAGGGCCATGGGGGTCACTTTGTACCTCGTCCTCTGAGCTCCCAGAGTTCCCTCACCCCCCTTTCCCCGTCTGGAACTCAGTGTGATCCCATGGGGCTGGGCTCCCGGGATTCTCCCAACATCCCAGCCTCTCGCAGCTTCCACAGGAGAGGCCTTGCTGAGCAGCCTCCAGCGAGCGGCCGAGGCTGTGGCCCAGGCCGTGCTCCCGGCCCCGGGGGGACCCCGGCGGCTCCCTGGGGACCTCCCCGAGGACACCTACGAGCCCATCCGAGCTCCATCCCCTGCCAGCAGCCCGGCCGCGCCGCCCCCGACTCCTCCCGCGCCGCGCGGATCCCGAGGTGGGTCCTGCCGGAGCAGCCAGGGGAGTCTGGGGGCTCCCCACCCATCCTGAGGGCTTTGGGGACCCCAGCTGAGCAGCAGTGTCCCTGCAGTGAGCCACCGGCCCGGGCTGGCCGGGGGCGGCTGGGAGGAGGCAGACAGCGGGCACAGCTCCCGGGAATCCTCGCAGGGCAACGAGCGGAGCCGCACCTCGGACTCGGGCAGCAAATCCGGCAGTGACAGCCGCTCCGGGGCCAGCCGGGAGCTGAGCCATGGGGCTGACAGGTGAGAGGGGCCCGGGGGGCTCCCCTGCCCTGCGACTGTCCCAGGTGCATTCCCAGGAGCGCTGCCCTCGTTCTCCACACCGCTGACCCAGAGTGCTGCTCAGGGTGGGGGTCCCTGTCTGTCAGGGGGTGTGCAGGGACCCCAGCAGCAGGAGTAAGCGGGTGGCCCCTGTCCCCACGAGGTGTGTCCCCAGCAGGGTGGACGCTGACAGCCCAGGTGACTGCCGGAGGGAGCTGAGCCTGGTGTCGGGACTGACACGTGGGGCCAGGGTCTTCCTCACCAGGGAGGAAGCTCAGCACTTCCTCAAGGAGTAAGTGTCAGAGGCGGCTGCTCCCTGGGGCTGGGGGCACTTCTGGGGCAACTTGAGCTCTCCTGTGGCTGCCCAGGCCTGGACTCCAGGGGTGGGAAGGAGCTGCAGGTGACTGTGACCCCCATCCCTGTGCAGGTGTGGGCTCCTGAACTGTGAGGTGGTGCTGGAGCTGCTGGGCCGAGCGCTGGAGGATCCCAGTGACAGCGTCCGCATGGTGAGCACAGGGGGCTCCCCTGGGAGGGCTGGGGGGTGTTTGGGGGCCTCCCTGGCTCAGCCACGCTCCCCTTTCCCACAGAGGTCCTTGAGTGCCATCTCTGCCCTCGGCTGCTCCGACCTGCTCTCCCCAGAGCAGATCTTTGCTGTGACCCGGCAGCGCCTGCAGCACCTCAGCCAAGGCAGCCCTGGGCCTGTGGCCAACCGAGCAACAAAGGTGACTCTGGGGACATCCCTGTGCCAAATCCCCAGGGTGGGGGCTCCTGGCACAGGCTTGACAGCCCTTGGGAACACACAGCTTGTGGGAACGGCTCCATCTATGTCCCAGCAGGGTGGGACTGGCTGCCTTTCCCAGGAGCGGGGAGCCTGGGCAGGGCGATGCTCCCTCTGAGCCACGGGAGGGGACACTGGGGACAGTCTCTCTGCCTGGGAAAAGGTGCCAGGGCCAAGCCCTTTTGCCCATGCTGCTCTCACTCCGCCCATCCCGTCCCAGATGCTGCGGCAGTTCGAGGCCCTGTGCCGGACCCAGCCCTCCCCGAGGCCCCCACGCCCACCCTCAGCCCCCTCGGTGGGCTCGGCCGGGGATCTGCTCATGGACATCCCAGCCCTGGCCAGCGAGAGCTTCCTCACCCCGCTGAGCCCGGCCCCGACCCCCACGGCCCCGGGTGAGGAGCCGGGGGTGGCATCGGAGCCGCCCGGGCAGCCCGGGGCCGCGGTGCCAGCCTGTCCCTGTGAGCAGGACGGGGGGAGCAGGCTGGCAGGGGACACGGCGGCCCCCAGCCTGTCCCTGTTCGCTGGCATGGAGCTGGTGGCCTGTCCCGGCGCGGTGCTCCGGCCACACTCGCCGCCAGCAGAGCCACAGACCCCATCCCAGCCCCAGGATGGGGACACGGACACGGAGGACGCCCTGCAGCCATCGGCCTTTGCCTTCCTCAATATGTAGCTGCTGTCAGGCCCCGGGGGCTGCGGGGGCTCTGCCCCCTCTCCCTGCGGGGCCTGCGCTGTCCTGGTGCCTCAGGGGGGACACGGTCTGAAATGGCCACAAGGGCTGGGGCTTCCATCAGGTGACAATGTCCCTCTCACTGTCCCTGCTGTTCCAGGCCAGGCAGAGGAGCACGACCCCTTGCTCCTCTGAGCTGGACAGGGGTGTGTGACCCGCTGGGACTGAGCTGGGGGTGCTTTGGGGACCCCAGCATGGCCATGGGTGCTCTTGTGTTGTCCCCCAGCTGCAGCCTGGGCTCTGTGGGGGTGGGGTGGGAGAAGGCGCCGTCCCCATGGGGCCGGGACCCACCAATAAACCCCCACTCGGGTCTGGGAACGTGTGACTTCTTCCTGCGCCGCTGATGGATCCTGGCCCGTGGCTCCTCCTGGCCTGCAGCCCCACATTTTCCTATAGCCCCGTGGCCCCCAAGCAGCCCCACAGCTTTCCCCCTGCCCCACTGTTCTCCCCCATGCTACAGCCCCCCCATGTAGCCCGATCGTTCCCCCGTCTTCCTCACAGCTCAACCCCTGCTCCAGAACTCCCTAACCGCTCCACTTTTTCCCATAGCCCCCAATAAAGCCATGAGCTCCCCTGCCCCACAGTTCCCCCTCCCCAGCCCGCCTCCCCCAGTCGCCCTGTGACTCCCCCAACTCACAGCTCCCCAGTCCCCTCTCAAGTCCCCAAAATCCCCCATTTCCCCGCGAAAACCCCCATTGTGACTCCGCCCACGTGGGCCAGGCCCCGCCCATTGCCCCGCCCCAAAGAGCCACGCCCATCTCTCGCTCATACCATTGGTTCCCTCAAAATAAGCCGCGCCCACTCTGGGCCACGCCTCCCCCTCATTCCTTCTTATTCCCGCCCCTTTCCTCTGCCTCAGCCAATCGCGTTTCTTCTCCCGCCCTTTCCTCCCTCCCTATTGGTCGCTCGCTGCTAGCCCCGCCCAATGGCAGTGGCCGGAGCGCGGCCCTAGGTGAGGGGATGGGGGCGTTTAATGGCGGCTGAGGGGGGTCCAGGGGAGCAAAGGGAGTTCCAGGGGGAGCGGGGACAGGGGCAGGGCCTCGCTCTCGGCATCGCCCCCGGACCGTGGGGGTCTCGCCTGCGTGTGGGTGCGTGGGGCCCATTACTGTGGTCGTGAGAGGTTGGGGTCTGGCGGGGTTTGGAGGGCTTGGGATCTGGGCTGGGGACTGCGGAGATTGGGAGTTCGGGGGTCCTGAAGGGATCTGGGTCATGAGGGGCTCGGGGCTTTGGATTATGGGCTGGAGTCATGGGGGCTTGGGGCTGGGTTTCCTGGGGGTCCTGGGGTTGAGTGCCCCGTGGCTTTTGGTGGGGGTGTGGAACTTGGGGATGGGTATCCTGGGAGGAGCTGGGGGCATCTGGGAACGGGGAGCTTGGGGTGATCCTGAGGGGCTCAGGGATTTGGGAGCTTCAGGCCAGGGCTTGCCTGTGGATCATAAAGGGGCTGGGGGCCTTGGGGCCATGGGGGCCTGGGGCTTCAGAGCTTGGGAGTGTGAGCTTTAGGGATTTGAGGGGCTGGGGGCTCAGGGTGCTGTGCTGGCCCTGAGCTCCTGAGCCCGTTTTCCTGCCGTGAGCCCAGCGGTTTCCATGAGAGCCGTTTGTTTCCCCAGCCTGGGGAGCCCGAGGCATTGCCAAGGACTGTGGTGGAGCCCTAAGATGGGAAGACAGGGCTGCCGGGGGACAGGGTTTAGGGACAGTGTGGGTAATAAATGTAAGGAAATAAAGTGATCCGGGGTTTTGTGGATCAGCACGGGAGCTGGGACAATGCAGAGGGGAATGTGCTGCCCTGAGCTGGGAGGAGGCCCAGCTCTCCCTGTGCTCCCTGCTAGGGCACAGACCCTTCTGTACGAACTCTTGTCAGGGATTGGGAGCTTGGTGGGGAGGATCCCTTGGGAGCTGCTCAGGGGGTTCTTCAGCATCCCAGCCTGATGTGGGCTAAGCTGAACTTCCAGCCTGCACAGATGGGACCGTTCTGGGCCTGTGTGATCCTCTGGCAGCCATGGGCTGTGTGGAGTGAAGGAGCCTGGGATGGGGAGCAAGGCTTTCCTCTCCCTTTACTCCTCTGCTGGAATCCCGGCCCATAAATGTGACAGCAGTTCATGGACAGCCAGAGTGTTGGTTGAAAGCAGTGGGGAGTTCTCCTGGAGCCTCTCCAGGGCTGTGCTTGGGTTATTTGCCATGTGGCAATTTCGAGGAAGGTGTTTTGTCCTGTTGGGAAGCAGTTCCAGCTCTGGGTGCCGGCGTTTGCCGGAGCACCTGGTTCCGAGGCCGGATGCTCCATGCCTTCTCTCTCTCTGTGCTGTGCTTCCAGGGCTCCTTCCTCCTGCTCCAGCATGAAGAGCACCTGGAGCTGCTGCTCCATGCAGAGCTCCGATGTGGCAGACCTGATCCTGACGGGGCTCCCGGCGCCGGTGTCGCGGCGCCCTGGCAGCGCCTCTCCTGCCAAGCTCATGGCACGCTCCGTGTCCGTGGCTGCCGACGGCAAGGCCAAGAGGAACGCCCCGGTGAGCCCCTGTGCTTCTCCCACCTGTGCTGGGTCAGGGAACACGTGCCTGGGATGTGGGATAGCTCCAGGCATGCCCATGTCCCTCTCTCTCGCTGCGGTTCCCCCAGCACCAGCCTGGCTTTGCTCTGGCACCAGCCTCGGCGATCTCTGCTTGATGCAGAAGTAGGGAGGGTCAGGATTCCATCTTTTCTCTTCCTTGCCCTTCACCTCCCTGTGCCAATTTCCATCTGGAAAGCCCTGATTTCCTGGTGTCTCCTGCTGGGATGTGTGGCCCAGCCTGCCCCTCATGGAGCACCCCCTGTTCCTGCCGCACCAGGGGCTCCTGGGTGGGGGTTCCACAGGGGGAACAAGCCCCAGGTGCTTGCTGGGCTCCGTCAGGATCCAGCAGCAGACAGTCTGTGCTCCGTGCTGAGTAATCCCTTGGCAGCATTCCCGCACCCTTGTTCCCGGGAGCTTGTGCTAAGGAGCGTGTTCCTGCTGGCTCAGCAGCGCCCGAGCGAGGTGTCATTGCCCGCTGCCTCGAGGAGAGCTTGGCAGCCCTGGGGTGGTGGGAACTCCGTGTCCCACTGGGTGAGAGGGTGAGGGATCCTGCCTGTGCTCCTCCTGAACGTGGCTGCTGGATTTATCCCTGTTCTCCGCAGGAAGATGTGGGATCCCGGGCCATGAACAACCTGCGCAGGTCCAACAGCACCACGCAGGTGAACCAGCGGGTGAACAGCTCACACAGGTACAGCTGCACCACGGAGGGTGGCACTAGGGGACACCCCACCCGTGTGGCCAGCCTCCCTGGTCCTGTGGGGGAACACGAGCCTTTCCTAAAATACCCTGAGCTCTGTCATCCACATCAGGAGTTAACACCTGGCCCTGGAAAACCAAGGTCTGGCGCTTTGGTTATTTTTTTGAAGAGCAGGTGTCTTGTTTAGGGTTTCACAGGATCACAGAACAGCCTGACCCTAAAGTCCCATGCAGGATCACCTTCCACAAAACCAGGTTGCTCCAAGCCCCATCCAGTCTGTCCTGGGACACTTCTCTGTCAGAGCAGTGCCTGGCTTCTGTGAGCCACCTGTGCCAAGGCCTCACTCCCATCGCAGGGAAGAGTTTCTGTTTGGGGAAATGGAGTGTATTTCTGTGGCTGTGACAAAAAACATTCCATTTGATTCCAGCAGCCCTCATGGAGCCTCCAGGCCCTAACTGGGCTGTGTGAGGAGACAAAAGTTCTCTGTTCCCAGTGCCCTCTGAGTTGGGATTTTCCATTCTCCTGTAGGTCTGTGCCCATCCCTATCACCACACACCACTCTGGAACCCAAAGCTCTGTGTAGAAACAAGTAATTTGTGGATTTTGTGGCCATGTAACGATTCTCCAGCCCCCTTCTCCTATGTCACACTGAGTGTCTGAGTGCCCTGCATAGCCAGAGTGTGTCCTGTTATCCCAGAACCCCTGTTCTCTCCTCTCTGCCTTCCCTGGGTCTGGATAAAGCACGGAGCAGACAGAAGACTTCCTGGCCTTCTTTGAGGACGATCCAGAAGGAAGGAAGAAACTGGCAACTCTGAGCAAAACCTCCCCAGAAAAGAAAACCACATGGAATATCTTGGTGAGGACGGCAGGCTGTGGGAGTGGGCAGGCCAGGCTGGCTCTGTGCTCCTGCTGGTGTTTGAGGAGGTGGGTTTGATGCCCTTATCCCTGCTGACTCCATGGCAGGATGACCAACCCCGGGCGTTCCCTGGCCCCTCTGGCTCCCATGGCCTCGAGCTGCCCTCAGGCATGAGGAGGAAGGAAGCCACGGTGCTCCTGGCTGCCAACTTCACTGCCAACAACAGGTAGGACAGAGGGTCCTGACAGGGGGAATGGCTGGAACTGCATGGAGAAAACACCCAGAGAGGGGAAGGTGCTGTTCCTGACGCTCCTGGTCTCTCCACACAAGGAGCAACAAGGGCGCAATGGGCAACTGTGTCACCACCATGGTGCACAACAACTACTCCACTGCTGAGAGGGGCCCTGCTCCCAAGAGCTCCAACCAGGCTCCCAGTTCCCTCAAGTGAGTGTGGGGGTGTCCTGGCTCTGCAGCTGGGCTGGCCCCGGGGTCGTGTGTGGCACAGGGTAGAGCTGAGTGGCTTCATCTTCTGTCCCAGCAACGTCATCAAAGCGACCTCGAACGAGGATGGGGAAGGCAGCAGCAGCTTTGTGAAGTCTCAGAAGAATTTCTCCAGCAACAACATCATGACCCGCAACAACAACAACAGCAGCAGCAGCAGCAGCGGCAGCAGCATTCCCCGGAGGAGGGAGGTGACCGAGGAGGAGGCCGAGAGGTGAGGGAAGGGGCAGGGGCACGGTGCCAGGAGCTGTGAGGAGCTCCAGGGGAGCTTGTTCTTACCCTGTGGGATTTCACACTGGGGAAAGGCCACTGTGAGGGCACCTGCAGGTCCTGGTGCTGTGGGGAAGCGGGCTGTGCTGACCCTCCCTGTCCCCACAGGTTCATCCAGCAGGTGAACCTGGCTGCTGTCACCATCCAGCGCTGGTACCGGCGGCACTCGCAGCGGCGCAGGACGGCGGCTGCGGCTCTGGGGCGCCTGATGGCTGCCAAGAGGGAGGTTGGTCCCATTCCCTGCTCTAGCCCAGACCACCTGACACCCATGTCCCTCTGGCCACGCAGTTGGGGTCCCTTTAGTCCCCAGACCTGGGCTGTGAGAGCCAAGGGGGCTCTGGCTTTGCATCCAACCAGTCCCACCATAGCCCAGAGAGCTGGGGAGGGTCCCATTCCCTCAGAGCAGTGCTGGCTGTGTCCAGGGATTAGCCTGGGCTGGGTTCCAGCAGGAGCTGAGGCCCAAAGGCTCAGCACCACTCGGCTCCAGTTCCCCCAGTCCCCTGACTGGGAGCAGTCAGACCTTGGCAGTAGCAGCCCTGAATTGCCACTGTCTGGGCCACACTGGTGGAGAAGGGATGCCCCATCTTGGCTCATCCTAATGAATCCCTAATGAGGTGGCTTGTTAGAGTGATGAGGTTTCACAGCTATTTGTGTTTCTTTGTGTTCAATTATTTATCCCAGTAATGAAAAGCGCCGTTGCTCTTGCGTGTGAGTCTATTTTTAAGCCTTGTCTCCTCTGTGGTTGCAGACCCAGATGATGGTGATGATATAATAATAATAATAATAATAATAATAATAATAATAATAATAACATTGAGGATCTGAAGAAAATGAGCTGCTCCAAAGTGGAGCTGTGCCGAGGGCTCCTCACCTGCACAGAGGGGAGGATGGAAAGCCTGGATTGGGGTGACCCAGGTGTGGGTGCCCCTCACACTTCTCAGTGCTGGGTGCTGGAGAATTCTCAGTAACGTTTTTGACCCTCCTGTCGGGAAGGAAAGGCAGCAGCGGATGGACGAGGGGAATATCCTGGATTTGCAGGAGAGGAAGGACGAGGAGCGCCGGAAGATCCGAGAGGAGAAGGCACGGCTGGCCCGGCACGCTGCCATCCAGGTAGGGCCAGGGCCAGCCCTGTGTGACACCATTTGTTGGCAACATCCAGCAAGGCAGCCAGAGGCCTCTCTGCATCTCCAGAGCCTGGGCATGGGGCAGGATCAGAGCCAGCCCTGGAAATGGAGTGCTCCCTCCGGAGATGGAGGTGCCACGGAGCGGTTTCCTGCTGCGCTCCTGCCAAGCCTTGGCAGCTCATTCTGAGCTTGTGAAGACAGTGCTGGTTTCTGTGCAGTTCTCAGGAAAATGGTGACCACGTTGAGACAGGGAGACTCCAAGCTCCTTGGAATGGCCAGGGATGTGCCTGCCCTGGGATGTGCATGCTCCTCCTCAGGAGCAGGGTCCTTCTGGAGAGGGCTGAGTACCACTCCATGTCCCTTGGCAGGAAGCAACACGTCATTGTCACCCTGCTCTTGCAGCTGGTGGTGCAGATGGGGTTGGCACAGGCTGCAGGAGTTGGCAGTAAAGCTGGGGATGTTTTAAACCCCAAATTTTCTTTGCCCTAATTGGAATCATGTTCTGTTGTGGGGGAGGTTGGGAGAGGCACATCAGTGAGCAGCTGGAGGATGCAAAAACGCTGCCACAACCTTGCAAACACAGGCTTGTGCCTTCCCAAAACTTCAGGACATCCATGGCTCCTCTGTCCCCACAGGAGCTGCAGCAGAAAAGGGCCCAGAAAGCCTCAGAGACGAAGTGCTCGGCAGAAGAGCTGGTGCTGGTGAAGGAGAGCAGGAGGGTGCCCAAGAAGAAGCCTGGTGCCAAACCCGCCTCAGGCAGGAATGTCAGCCCAGCCAGCAGCCTCACCAAAGCCAACAACACCGGTGAGTCCCTCAGGCGTGTCCCCAGAGCCTTGGGAAGGAAGGGAAGGAGGGGTTTGCTCTGAGGAGCTGCTTCCCAGGGCTGGCTGGGGCGAGTGCCTGAGAACACTCTGGTCCCTGCAGAGGCCAATTCCCCCTCGGCTGCAGGGGAGCTGGAAGGAAACGGCCTGGGAGCTCTTGGCTCCGTGCCCTCGCAGGACCCCGGGGCACAGGACAAACTGCAGGTGGGTCTGGCTGTGCCTCCTGGTGGCCCTGGCAGCAGCTGCTCTGCCAGGGCAACATCAGAGCCTTTGCTGGCTTCTGGGGAGACCCAGAAAACTCTGTCATTCTCTCATCTTCTCCCTTAGGATGTGAGCTCCAGGGAGACAGGTAACGAGGACCTGGAGACAGCAGTGGCTGTTGGCAGCGGGGCTCCATCCAAGGTCACGCTCAATGAGCTGCTGGACACCCTCAGACTGCTGGAGGAGGAGCCAGAGCTGCTGCCCCCACCCAAGCTCCTCAGGAAGGACAGATATGCCTGGATGGACAGGGTGAGCTGGGGAATGAGATTGCTGTGTCCATCCTTGGTCACCTGCCTGGTGAGGAACAGCTGGGCACTGCCAGGGAGGGTGGTGGAGGAGCTTGGAGTGGCTGATGGAGGAATTTGGAGGAGGAGATGGAGGAGGGCTGCTTGCTGGGGTGCAGTGGGAGGACTGGGCTCCAGTGGTGGAGAAAAGCCAGCCCCTCTTCTCCTGAGCCTTCCCTGCGGTGCTCATTCACCACGGTGAATTCCCAGCAGGAGCCCAGCTCCAATTCCCTGACTGCTGATAACTTGGAGAAGTTTGGGAAGCTGAACCACCCACCAGGGGTCCCTGAGGATGGGGCTCTGCTCTCGGAGGCCAAGCTCCAGAGCATCATCAGTTTCCTGGATGAGATGGAGAAGTCGGAGCAGGAGAGGCCCAGGTCGGCCGCCTCAGCCGCACAGCGGGAGGTGAGTCCATCTGTGCTGTGGGAATCCATTCCTGGGGGGAATCATCCCCATCTCCCTGTCCTCATTCCAGGTGGTTCCAACACCTTTTCCATCATGTTTTTTCTGCTGTGGCAGAGCTTCCTTTTGGAAGAGGAGCTGGCTCACGTGGAGCAGGTGTCGGCTGTTGCCACGGAGGTGACAAGCTCCATGATGAGGCTGAAGCTGGAAGTGGAGGAGAAGAAGAGAGCCATCAGCCTGCTGCAGACTGCTCTGGTGTGTCAGCCTCTCATGTGGCTCTTGGGGCTATGAAGCACGTGATCAGGACTATCCCTTCATTTTACAGAATCATGGAATTGTTTGGGTTGGAGGGGACCTTAAAGATCATCTAGCTGGGACCTGGGCTGAGCTCCCTTCTCTGTCCTGGGGGGCTGGGTGTTCCTGCTGGCAGGGGTGGGAGATGTGAGCACCAGGGCTTTGCTTTAGCTCTGTCCCTCATTTTCCTGCTGGTGATTTCCACATGGTGGCTGTTTGACTCCTGCTCCCCACAGGCTCAGCAGCGGGAACTGACCGACCGACACGTCAAACAGACCGAGAAGGAGCTCGGCCACCAGCTCAGGCTGCAGAGGGAGCAGTATGAGGCAGCTATCCAGAGGCACCTGGCCTTCATTGACCAGGTAATCCCTCATCCCAGCTCCTGAAGGCAGAGGCTGAGGTGGCTGCACCTGCCTGATGCCGGCTCCTCGCCCTGCCCAGCTCCTCGATGACAAGAAGGTGCTGAGTGAGAAGTGTGAGGCTGTGGTGGCAGAGCTGAAACAAGTGGACCACAAGTACGGCCAGAAGATCACGCAGATGCAGGAGCAGCACGAGCTGGTGAGAGGAAGGGGAAGATGGGGGGGATGTGCCTGCTGATTTTGTTCATTTTGTTCAAATGGGGCCTCTGCCTGGAGCAGTACAGTCTCTGTCGCCTCGGTGGGACCTGGACACTCCAAGGAGCTCTTCCCTGTGCACAGAAGGTCCCTGTGACCACGGAGCTTTCTCCTGGCACCCCAAAAGGCTTCTGTCCTCTGCTGGCCAGGGCCAGGAGTATGGCACTGACCGAGGGACAGTGTAAACTCCCAGGCTCTGCTTGGAGAGACCTTTCCCACACATCTGGCACAGGTTGCCCAGAGAAGCTGTGGCTGCCCCATCTCTGGAAGTGTCCAAGGCCGGGTTGGACAGGACTTGGAGCAACCTGGGATAATGGAAGATGTCCCTGCCCATGGCAGGGGTTGGGACTGGATGGGCTTTAAGGTGCCTTCCAACCCAAACCGTTCTGTGATTCCATAATCCCACTGAAGGCAGAGCTCTCCCAGGCTGGGGATGACCAGGGACACCTGGCACAAACCTGGTGCCATGGAGGAATTTCGCTTCTCCTGCAGATGGAGACAGCTCAGCTCTCCCTGTGCCAGGCCTGGCAGGAAAGCAGCACCAGAGCTCATCCCAGCTCTGCCATCCCAGTCCCTGCTTGTCCTTGACCTTGGAGCTGAGCTCATGCCTGGGGGTCCCTTGGTCTCTGGAGCAGGCTCCAACCACACAGGCTCCTGGCCTTGTCCCTGTCCTTGTCCCTTGTGCTGTCTCCCCTCGCCCCCATGGACTCCTGCCCAGCTCTGCCCTGCCCGTGGCTCCCACAGACCACAGACTGTGACCACAGACCACACAGACTGTGTGGATTTGCCTCTCCCCCACCATTCCCCTTCTCTCTCCATCCCCTCCTTTCTTTCTCCCCAGGTCTGGCGCACTTTGGGCCCCTTTTGTGAGGTAAATGCGGTCTTTGCTCTCTTTTGTGCCTTGCCCTCTGTTCTTGTGCCCTGACCTGCTCTGGCCCTGCTCCAGCCCCTGCCAGAGGGTTTTCCATGGCAGGGAGAGGGAAGGCTGGAGAGGAAAGCACCACCACACAGGGACAGACGGGCTGCCCTGCATGCAGGGACCCTCGGCAGCCCCCAGTTCCCCTTCCCTCTCCATCAGTGCTCTCATATCTTGGCAGTGAGCACTTTGCCAGGGGGATAGGGGAGAAGGCACTGGGAGAGTGTGTGGCTGCTTCTCTGGGCTGGAAGAACACACCTGGCTAGGGCTGTGCATGCATCCATGTGCAGCTCCACAGCTTCCTTCCCAACAGCCTGCTTCCCAGGCTCACAGGGCGTTTTTCTCCCAGCTTCTCTGAGGTTTTCCCATTTGCTTCCAAACAGGAGATTAAAAAACTGAAGGAACTCATGAGCGCAACTGAGAAAGTCCGGCGGGAGAAGTGGATTGAGGAGAAAACCAAAAAGATCAAAGAAATCACGGTGAAAGGTACGGGCAGGTTCCCTCAGCAGCAGCTGGAGCTGGGACAGTGCCAGGGTGGTCCAGGAGAGACTGGGAAGAACTCCTTGGTGCAGGCAGCGTTTGCTCCCTGTTTCTGGTGGAGCAGATGCCCGAGGGCAAGAAAACCCCTCTGTGCTCATCCCCCCTTCTTACCAGCCCCTTCGAGGGCACTGGGGTGGGATCCAGGCCGAGCCGTGCCTGTCCTTCCCGCTGTCCCAGGGCTGGAGCCGGAGATCCAGAAGCTCGTGGCCAAGCACCGCGAGGACATCCGGCAGCTGAAGCTGCTGCACGAGGCCGAGCTGCTGCAGTCGGATGAGCGGGCGGCGCTGCACTACGGGCGGCAGGCGCAGGAGCTGCGGGGGCTGCTGGAGCGCGAGAAGGAGGAGCAGAGCCAGCGGGAGCGGGAGCGGGCCCGCCAGAGGTGCGTCACTCCGGGCTCAGCGCTGCTTGGGGCTCGCAGCTCTGTCCAGCACCGGTCTGCTGCTGGCTTCCCGATATTTGCAGCTCCACGGGGAGCGGCCCCTTGCTCTCCACCGGCCTCAGGTGGGCGATGCTGCTGAGCTGGGAGCATCCTCTGGCATCGTGAAGGGCAGGGTGGAGAGGGGGCCAAGTGCTCCAAGGCACATCCCTGGAGTGTGTGTCCCACAGGTGTGAGCAGCAGCTGGAGCAGGAGGAGCAGGCTCTGGAGCTGCAGCGGCGCCGGCTCTACGCCGAGGTGGCCGAGGAGAAGGAGCGGCTGAGCCAGCAAGCAGCCAGGTGAGCAGGCTGGGGGCCTGGGGGCAGCCCTGGAGCCGTGGGGCCAGGCTCCCGTGGGAAGAGGTGCTGGTGTGGATGCTGGGAGCTGTGTCTGTGCAGGCAGCGAGCGGAGGCAGAGGAGCTGCGGCGGCAGCTGGAGGCCAACAGCTCGGCCCTCACCCGCGCGCTGCGGGACGAGTACGCCAAGGAGAAGGAGGACCAGGAGAGGCGGCACCAGGTCTGGTTTTCCCTCACCTCCAGCCCTTTGGGTGCTGGCACCACCAAGCCTTGGACCCCACAGCCCCAGCAGCTGCTGCCAGCCAGCACAGGAGGGTCCCAGGGCTGAGCTGTTGTTTTCCCTTCTCCTCGCAGGCAGAGCTGAAGGTGCTGAAGGACCAGCTGGAGCTGGAGAAGCAGGCCTGGGAGGCCAACTATGTGAAGAAGGAGGTAATGGCAAGAGCTCCAAAGGTTCCACCCATGGGCTCTGAGAGGAATTTGAGGCCATGTTTGCTGTCTTCATTCCAGGAAGCCTGGCTGCTCTCTCGGGAGCGGGAGCTGCGGGAGGAGATGAGGAAGGAGAGGGACAAAGAGATCGAGCTGGTGATCCAGCGCCTGGAGGCTGACACGTCCTTGGCCAAAGAGGAGTGCGAGAGGGCAGCGGAGAACAGGTGAGGGGGAAAGGGAGGAGGGAGGTCCCAGGTCCTCCAGGGGCTGGTCCCTTTTCCCTGTCCCCTGGGCGTCTCTCCAGTGAGCTCTGGAGCAATGTTAGTGCAGGAAGGAAACAGCCTTGGATCTCCTGTGGGGCAGCTCTGCCCTTGCTGCTGTGCCCTGATCGCTCCTGCAGCAGGAATGGGGCTGGGATGAGCCAGGCAGCAGCAGGATAAGCCAGGCTGCCTGTCCATCCTGCCCACAGGATCAAGAGGATCCGAGACAAGTACGAGGTGGAGCTGCAGGAGCTGGAGCAGTCGGAGCGGAAGCTGCAGGAGCACTGCAATGAGCTCAAGGGGCGGCTGGCCGAGCTGGAAGGGGAGAACATGCGGCTGCAGGGCCTGCTGAAGCACAAGGAGCAGGAGGTGAAGGAGATCCGGAAGGTGAGCGAGGAGCAGAGCCAGGGCCCTGCCTGGATGTGTGGGACCAGCTGTCCCAGGGGCACAGAGACCTGACTGAGGTGATCTGGCAGGAATTTGCGGACAGGCTGGTGGGGATGGAGGTGGAGAACGCACGGCTGAAGGCAGAGATGGCAGAGCTGAGGGCCCGGCAGCACCTGGAGCTGGACAGGCTGGTGCAGGAGAAGGACCGGGAGCTGGAGGAGGTTCACAGGAGGTGAGGGAGCCCAGGTGTGGTGCAGGAGCTCAGTGCTGCATCCTCAGGAACAACTTCCAGCCCTGTCCAGGCAAACTGGGCAGAGGAGTCTTGCCAAAGCTGGCTGCTGCTCAGCCACCCGAAATCCTCTGTCCCTTGTCACTGCTGGCCTGCTCTGTGCCATCCTGTCCCCAGGGCTGCTCCTGGGCGTGCAGTGACAGGAGAGGCCAGGGGAGCACAGCGAGAGGCCAGGGGAGCACAGCTCTGCGTTCCTCCCTGGCAGGAGCCCTGCCAGGATCACTGTCACCTCCTGGGGCTCTCCGAGGCTCACACACGATACCTGTGACTGCAGCCATGTGGTCTTCTCCAGAGGGGCAGGGCCCAGGGTCAGGGCACAGCCACGGAGGCTGAGGGCAGCTGGGACATCCCCAAAGTGCTGCGCTAATTAAATCTTAGGAAGCTGATGTGCCTTTCTTCCTGTAGACAAGTCAGTCCACACTACACAGCACCCACCAGTGGAATAATGCCAGTGTGTGATGGCACCTGGAACCCAGCTTTGGCTGGGGTAGAGGGGCTGAGCTCCTGGGGCTGAAATCCCCACCCTGGGGCAGGGCCCAGCCCCGTGCTGGGCACCGGGGTCCTCAGCCCCCCATGTCCGTGTCAGGGTGAAGGCGGCGGTGCTGAGGAAGGAGGAGAGCATGAGCAGCCTGCGGAAGCAGTACGAGGTGAGTGAGGGCTCCGTGGCCCTGCCCTGGCTGTGGCTGGGCAGGGCACTGTGAGCTCCCTGTGGCCTGTGCTCCCTTGCAGGCAGCCGTGCAGAGAGCCAACCTCCTGGAATCGCTGCTGGAGCAGCAGCGGCAGCTGGCCGCGGAGTGACCGTCCTGCCAGCCAGGGAGCGGGGCTGGGCCTCCCCTCCCTCTTCCCTTCTCCTCCACAGCCTGCTCCCAGTGCCGTGCTGGGACACTTGGTGGCCTTTAGATGTTTGGGAGTTTTGTTCTGATAATAAATCTCTGCTGGTTTCTACAACTGTTTCTAAACTAGTGTTTATATACACTGCCAGGCCACGGGTGGCTCTTCCCTGAGGTCTGTGCCCAGTGACACCTTCCCAACACCATTCCTGCAGCCCAACGCCCTCCCTTTGCCCAAAACCCCAACCTAGCTTCCCATTCTAAACTGAAATGTCCAGTACAATGCAGGGAGGCAGAGCCAGGGGAGGATGTGATGCCACAGCTTCTGCTACCTGCAGATTCCTCTACACCCCCTGACAGGGCCGGGAAACGCCTGTGCTGGGCCGGTGGCATCTGTTTCCTCTCGGCCGGGAGCGTGTGGCTGCTCTGGTCCCTCCCCCGGGCCGGGGCTCGGGGCAGGGGCCGGCAGATGTTTTCTCAGCAGAGTCCCTGGGTTTCCCATCCATCCTGCTGCTCCCTGCGCTCGGCTGGATCCTCCCCGTGCCCCGTGGCAGCACCGCCAGAGCCCCCGCGGTCACACGGAGCCGCAGAGGGACCCTTTGTCACCCCAGGAAGCTGCACAGGGGCTCGGCCGCTTCCCGACGCTGGCGCTTGTCCCAGCGTGGGCTCCTGGCTGCGGCTCCCGGGGGCGGTGTGATCCCAAGGCAGCCCGTGGATGATGGCCCAGATCCCTGCCCGTGCTTTGGCACTTGATTTGGGTGCTGTGGGGCACGAGCAGCCCCCCGGCTGCGGGGCAGGGCACCGAGGGTGGCTGTGTCCCGCACAGCGGAGCCCTGCCCGCTCCCCCTCCCCGCTGTGGCCAGGCTGGAGAGCTCATCCCGGTTCCAAGGAGTTTCCTGAGGGCCGCTTCCGACCCCCGCCCTGCACAGCCACCCCGAGCCCCCGGCTCCGGGAAATCCGGCGTGGGACGAGGGGGCTCAGCCCACTGGCTGCCCGGCCAGGGGGTCTAGTGCCCGTGTCCAGCCCTGTGGGTCCGGTGTAGGACCCCGAGCCCCGTGCGGCATCGCCGCTGTGGGGTGAACACCCCGCCACGGTCCCCGGGATGCGCCCGGCCCCGCTCCGGAGCTCCCCGGGGCTCCGTGTGCTCCGGCATCCTCCCGGCCCCTCCCCGCCACAGCCCGGGATAATTTCTAGGCCAGTGCCCGGTTCAGGCATGAATAAATCAGCGCCGTTGCATAACGGGGATGCGGATTTTCACCGGCTGGCTGCTCGTGCCTGCGCCGGAGCCCCCCGCCCGCAGCCCGGGGATCCCGCGGGAGCGGCGGCCGCGTGGCACGAGCGTGTCCGTGTCCGTGTCCCTGTCCCTGTCCCTGTCCCTGTCCCTGTCCCTGTCCCTGCCGAGCCGCTGCCAAAGACCCCCAGTTGAGGATCCCCTCTCCCCGCGGCTGCCCGGGGTCAGGAGGATGAGCGGAGCCCGCGGGGCCGGGAAGGAGGTCAGGAGCACCGGGGGCTTTTGGCAGCCGCCGCGCGGGAATCGCGGCTCAATCTGGTGTCTGCCCGGGAGGGGATTAGCTTCAGCCCCAGACAAATCAGCCGAGAAGCCGGAGCAAGTGGCAGGATCCGAGCAGGGTAATCTCCCCTTGGGAAGGATCTGTAATCTCCCCTGCTAATTGGGGCGGTGGCAGAGGCACTGCCCCGACAGGGAGGGGACGGCAGGGGACTGGTGCCACCCTCTGCCTCTGCCGGGGCTGGGCCAGGGCTGCACCTGAGGGGCTCCCTGGGCCTTTGGGCCTCGATTCTCCTTTGGGATTTTCCCTTCTACAGCCACGATGGAAATCTGGTGGGAAGCAGGACAAGCGGCAGGGGGCACAGAGCAGGTGGTGGGTTTGGGTGACCATGACAGAGCTCAAGTCTCCTCCTGGACGTGTCAAATGGGGCTATTGGCAATGTCACCTGGGCACGGAGGATGCTGGGACATGGGGCTGCTGTGCTTGGTGTCCCAGCCCAGCTGGGGATTCCGGGTCTTCCCAAGGAGGTCAGGGTGGCACAGCAGGGCTGGGCAGGCACACACTCCATTCTCATCCCCCTAACCCATCCCTATCCCTGTGTCATCCCCAGTCCATCTCCGTCCCTGTCTTCTTTCCCATCTCATCCTCAGTTCTATCCCCCCAATCCTCATCCTCATCATTTTCCTCCCCATCCCGCCCTCTCCCCCACACAGGAGGGAAGAGCTGGGCACTGGGGCTGCCACCCCCAACACAACGTCGGGTGATTTCATCTGCTCCCACTCACTGAAGCCTCCCTGCCCCTTCCCAGTGCCAGGAAGGCCCCAGCCCATCCCTGTCCCACCCCCCCGGGATCAGCTGAGTGTGCTCGGGGTGCTGGGGGCGGCTGGGCCCGGTGGGTGCCCGGCGTGGGCTCGGCACAGCCGCCCACCCCCAGCCCACCTGGCTGTGACTCAGCCAGTGCCAGCTCAGCCGCACAGGGACGGGGCTGGCCCTGCCACCCACCCTGCTGGCACGTGGCCACCCACTCCCACAGGGCCATGGCTGGTCCAGAGGGCATCCATGGCACCAAAGCTTCCAGACACTCCAAATGCTTCTGGCACAGGCGCTGTACCAGGTCAGTGCCCCGGAGGGCTCATGGAGGAGCTCAGGGTGTCCCACATGGGGGTCACGGCCATTTGCACCTCCAGAAAGGAGCAGGGACCCAGTGGCAGGGTGACAATAGGATCAATGGGGTTCCCATGAGCTGCACCCCAGCCGGGGGTCTCCAAAATGAGTGAGGGGGCATCAGCAGTCACCTGCTACCCCTGGCAGAGGGACTGGGGGGGGGTCCTGTGGGACAGAGCTGCTCCAGAGCAGAGAAATGCGGAGGCAAAGGAGAAGGGAGAAGGGAGAAACTGGCTCCAACGTGTTTATTCTCCCAGCAGCCGGTAATTTTTCCAGGCCTGTATCTATTTGTGGCAACGTGACATGTGCAGCGTGGTGCTGTTCTGTGCAGGCTTGAAGGCTTGTAAAAAATTAATCGTGTACGCAAAATTTGGCTTTAAATATTCAAACTGGCGGTGGGGATGTGCGAGCCCCGTGCTCAGAGCTGATCCCAGCAAAGGGTGGGACAAGGGGGTTCCCAGGAACGGGATGGGACAGGATGGGCCAGGATTGTCCTGCCATGACCCCGAAGGAAAGTCCAACCTGGTTCCCCGGTGGGCTCGGGGACCAGTGGCACCCACAGCTTTGCCAGGGTCTGGGTGAAGCTGTGGGATGTTCCCTGCCAAGAAATTGGGAGCGCTGGGTTTTGAAGCATCCCATGTTTGGAGGGCCCACTCCCATGTGCCAGGGCTGTGGCGTCGAGCAGACAAGGCCGAGGGGGGACCCCGCACCGGGGGCCTGGCTGGGGCTGCGGGGGGCTCTGCTCACCCTCGGGATGGGACCGGGGGGCTGCAGGGTGCGGCAGAGATGGGGTGCAGGGTGCGGGGGGTTGAGGGGCTGGCTGGGGGCAGAGCTGCCCATCCCATCCCTGTTTCCCATCCCTGATCGCGGGAAGCCGGCGGTGCCCGGGGTGGGTCAGGGTCGGAGCAGTTCCCCTTGGGGGGTCCCAGCCCCGCTCCCGGAGGGTCCTCTCCCCACTGCGTGGTCCCCTGCGTGGTCCCGACCCCGCTCCAGGGTGGCGGCTGCCCCTCGGGGGTCCCGTCCCGGTCCGGGAGGGCCCCACGGACCCCATCCATCCCTGCGGGACCGCTCGGGGGCGGCGGCGCATCCCGGGGGGGAGGACGCGGGTCCCGGTGCGGTCCCGGGGCTGCGGCTCCGCCACCTGCCGCCCCCGCCCGCCCGGTCCCGCTGCTCGGCGGCGGCGCGGCCCCTCCCCGGGGCACGGGGCGCGGGGCCGCGGGGCCGCCATGGAGGAGGAGCCGCCGCCGCCGCCGCCGCCGCCGCCGTGCCCAGCGCGGGGCCAGCGGCAGCCGGCGGCCGTGGGGCTCCCGCCGCCGCCGCGCCATGGGCCGCTTCCCCACCGCCGCCGCTGCCATGGCGGCCGCCTTCCTCAGCCCCAGCCTCGCCTTCAGCTCCCACTTCGACCCCGGTAAGTGCCGCAGCCCCGGGACTGACGGACCCGCACCCCCTCCCTCGCACCGAGCCTCCCCCGGTGCTCAGCCCCGCTCTGGCTGCCCGCGCTGCGCTGCCGGTGCACCGGGAACGAGCATCCCCGCATGGCGCTGCACCGCGAACAGAGCATCCCCTCCCCTTCATCACCGGGAATGTCACCGTACGGGCTCCCGGCTCTGACAGCCGGACCCGACCCGGTGTGGCGGTGTGACACCCTGGTGTGGTGCGTGGCCGGTGACACCCCGGTGTGACCGTGGGACATCCCGGTGTGACCGTGGGACATCCCGGTGTGGCGGTGGGACATCCCGGTGTGACCGTGGGACATCCCGGTGTGACCGTGGGACATCCCCGTGTGGCGGTGGGACATCCCGGTGTGGCCGTGGGACATCCCGGTGTGGCCGTGGGACATCCCGGTGTGGCGGTGGGACATCCCGGTGTGGCGGTGGGACATCCCGGTGTGGCGGTGGGACATCCCGGTGTGACCGTGGGACATCCCCGTGTGGCGGTGGGACATCCCGGTGTGACCGTGGGACATCCCGGTGTGACCGTGGGACATCCCGGTGTGGCGGTGCGGTGGGATCGCTGCCGCAGCCGGGCGGCATTTTGTTCCGCGGGCTGGAGCGCGGAGGAATCCCGGGGCTGCGCTGCCTCTGAAGGCATCTCCGGGATTGAAACGGAATAATAACAACAGGGAGGATGGTGATGGTGAGAGGGAGGAAGACGGAGCCGGGGCTGAGCCCCCAGCGCCTGAGCCACGCTCCGGCCGGGGAGCCGGGGGCTGCGGGAGCCCGGCGGGGCTGGGGGAGCCGGCGGGGCTCGCTGGGGTGCCGGGGCACGGCAGCGATGTTTTGGGGCGCAGGCGTTATGTAAGCGCCGTGTTCCGGCCGCCGCGCAGCTGCAGGAAGATGCTGCAGCCGCGGAGCAGCTCGGGGCTGGCG